ACTATAATTAATTTAAATCACCAAATCATATGGGAAAGTTTAACATGTTGATATGCTGGTCATTAGAAAAATAAAACCAATCCATAACAATAACTCCATATTTTATACCATTTGTAATTGATTATTCAAAATATGAATCTTTTGAAATTCACAAAAAAAGAAAATCACATTCTGTTTCAGTACGTATGAATTTTTTTGGTTTTGGGGGGAGGTTGCTGATAAATGTTTTGGATAAATGAAATATGTTGTTGTTTGGCAGAAAAAATTTCTCAACAATTCTAAAATGATAATCATTAAAAATTTACATTAATGTTAGCATATTTGAAGGAACTCTATCAAATAAATGTTAATAGAGAATGTGTAGAACAAAAATCATCTTGAATACTGTAGGGAAGAATATCTTCTTGATTTCAAGGGCATAAATATGTTTAAATATTACTTAAAACATTAGACAAAATATATTATCTAAGTTAGGGTATAAACTTGCTCCTTGTCAAAGATATTAGTAACATGAAAATAAAGCATGATGTAAAAAAATTTCAAGGAACACAGCTGAAAAGGGATAATTTTCATAATTTATATGAAAATTTTCAGTTATAAATAATATAAATCACAAATAATTGAAAATGCTGGCAAAGCATGATACGTAGACATTTAGAAAAATATCAATAAGCACATTAAAATATGCCTTATCACAATAAACACAAATATTCAAATTAAAGCTGCAATGAAATATCTATAACAAATGGGTAAAAATAATGATTAATAATACTGACTGTTGTTGAAAAAATAGGTAATAACTTTTTAAATTTGGAACATTACTGTTAAAAGTGTAATTGATAGGAACAATTTAAAATATTCAGATGTAAATATGTGTGCAATTTCATTATAATGAGTAACTATGCACTGTATAGCAGAATATATTTCCTAATTTGAAGGATGCCAAATGTAATTCAATCTATACGGACTTACAAAAATTTCTGGAATATTCACTTGATGAAATATTAAATAAGAATAAAAGTTTTAAAATAATAAATGCATGCACCAAAATGAATGATTTGTAAAATCACGTGGATAATTTATAAAATTTGGATGCATGAAACACACACTACATGATTGTGTTCCCTTAAAGTTTGCCAATGGCAAATGCTAATTTGTGTTTTTAAGAGATAGACAGTTAATACCTATAGAAGAAGTAGTATATCTTTATGATTAAAGTAATAATTGTATTATTGCTGGGAGTTGGGAGAATGGGCTGTGATTGGCTGTGAGTTACAGGTGATATTTCAGCTCTTTATCTACTTAAGAGCTAGTTAGGCATTTAAAAATATTTTAGAACATGTTTTTAAATTTTAAAGTCAATATCAGAGAGTCAATTACTACATTTTTTTACAAAGAGAATGCTTTTCACTATAAATGTAATAGAAATGTATATTACAGTTCTAATCAACAGAGGGAAATAAATAGATTTAAAATTTTCTAAGAACATAATAGCTAATCTCTCATTAATAACTTTCTTGTAAGAAAAATAACCATATTAGGGTTGCATCAACCACTAAATTCCAAATGTATTACAATGATAGATCAGAGACGATGGAAATCAAGAAACAGATCTATACAAATGAATAAATAGAATAAAGCTTTTTTTAAAAAAAAATTCCTTCTTTAAAAAAATAAATAGATCTATTTTGGAGGTATAATCAATGTAACCTACAGATGTTCAGGAAAAAACAGGGAACATAAATAACATTGATTCCTCTATTTAACCAAGTCAATGGTATATAAGGAAATTTACTCATAAACACTTACAAAAGAGATGAGTTTATTGTTAGAATGGATGATCAAAGGTACAATTTCATAACTATTATGTCATGTCCCTCAAAACAGGATACACATATTGTTACAAGTAACCATAAATTTTCATTGCACTCAGCATTACCTCGATACCTTTCATTGAACTGTAACATATTGCGTGGATACTCAGAAAATGGGTGATGCATACAGATATACCTCTTATTTTCAAGACTTACTTCATAAAGCCAGTCAATATTTTTCATATATAACAAAAGTTTCTCATTGCACTTAAAGTATTAAAGTGAAACAGAAAGTTATACTTCACAGAACTTTCTAAGTAAACACAGTGGGTTCTGAAGGCTTGAGTATGATTCTGGTATAGGAAGATGTCATTTGTGTTTTCACTACTTAAAGAACAAAGAACAGCCAGGCTGTAGAAATGGAAGTAAGTTCTAAGTATGGACTTCTAACTCCGAATTCTGGACTTCTGTAGTGTTCCATGAAAATGTTTGGAAGCATGCTTTCTGAAATTCTTCAGAAGAAATACACAAAAACAGAATATTTGTAATGAAACAAGAAAATTAGAAAGCACTCAGAACACTGAAGAGCATTTCTTATTCAATATTGGGTGGAGAAGAACATATTATATATTTAGTTAAAACTTAAGTATCACCAAAAACATTTTTAAAAGTTGCGTACTGTTAGAATATACAAAAACATTTATCTGAATTTTATGTGGAGAGAATGCAGTTTGGAGTCAATCAGCCTCCTAACTGTCTCTTTTACATCTTTGCTCCTGAGGCTGTAGATCAGGGGATTCAACAAGGGAATCAAGACAGTGAAAAGAACAGTGTCCACTTTGACCAGGAGCCAGGAGCTTTTGTCATGGGGCACACAGTAGAGAAGGAGGATGACCCCATGGAAGATGCTGATGGCAGTCAGGTGAGAGGCACAGGTGGAGAAGGCTTTGCGGAGGCCACCCTTAGAAGGCATCCTGCTGACAGTGGCAATGATGAAGATATAGGAAGCAAGGATGATCAGGAGGCTAAACACTTCATTGAATGTCGAAATGACGAAACATGCCATCTGACTGAAAGAAGTGTCAGAGCAGGACAAAGAGAGGATGGCAGAGTACTCACAGCCAAAGTGATTTATGACATTAGATCCACAATAGGACTGTACTAGCAGAGAGTAAGTGAGTATCAAGGAGCACAGGCCACCCCACATGTATGTCCCAGACACTAAGAGGGAACAGAGCTTGCGAGACATGGCAACTGTGTAGAGCAAGGGATTACACACAGCCACAAA